TTATCTCATAGGTTTTAACAGTAAGACTTACTGTTTTCATTAACACACCTGGGCAAGAACAGACAGACATTTTATTTAAGACCTAAACTTTGAAGCAGTTTATCGATTTGAAAAGTCAACCAATCTAACTCACAGTTAGTATGCATGCATTGTACACTGAAACATTGCTCAATTATTTTTAAATTTAGTTTTTATACCTTTCCCAACAAGTCCAGAGCTGGGATTGCTCTGCCTCTAAAGAGTGCTTATTGTAAAAGCTCGGCAGACTTGAGGGAACAGCTGGTGTAGTTCTTCACAACGGCTTCAGTTACTTAAGCCTTGTGTCTTACCCATCAAAGAATGGAAATTATTTCTGTAACATTTTTCTTTAACAGAGCTTGCTTTGACAGTCAAAGGGAGCCTTATGCACACAAACGCTGTGCCGAAAAGCTATAGCTACTTCATTATGCGTTTGTACCTCACTTTGACAAGTAACATCCCTAGGCATGCTTCCAGCATTGCTCAGACTATGAGCCATAAGGTTGGGCTGGGTAAAAGATTACAGAGGTGTGGTGAGAAGCCATTACTTGCAGCACAACTTTTACTCAATACACAGACCCATGACAGACCCATACCTCAAGTAGATTGGCTATGCATATTGAGTGCGGCTTTCCTTACTTTTGCTCCTATAGGAATTGCTTTCATAGTCTTGCAGGCTCCATTTAGAGACCGACGTGGTGTTCAACCTCCACTGGTCTTCTAATAGGAAAACTGATGGGTGAAAAGAGTAGTGCTAAACAGCTGGGAACCATGTAACGTACACTGGGTACAAATCCTGCAGTTTTTGCTATGAAACCCTTGAACCTTAATGCTTTGAAAATACCTACAGTTCATAGAAGCATTAAACAGATGCAGTACATGCACTGGATGCATGCTACAGGGCAAAAAGACCTTGAACTGAATACGCCAACATTCTGTAAAATGACATTTCAATGAGCAATTCTAGACCTCATATAGGGTTAAACCAAACATAACCGTGCATTATAAACGGTGATAATATAATATGCATACAGTAACTGCCACAGTGGCACATGAGAACATTGTTACTGTGATGAAGTAATTATCTCACCCAAAGCATAGCAAAGTGCTTACCAGTGCAGTTTATTACAGGTCATTTCATTCAGCGTCTTTCTGAGCACTGTCATGCAGACTCGCAACAGTTAAAAGTTTGTCATTTGATTCACAGTGCACCTCCAGTTTTACTCTGATTCTTCAGAGGATTGCTGTAAGATCACAACTGTGTTCACCGAATCGTTACGAAGTTACCACACAGTGATCCTAACGACTGCTCGTGTCAGCCGTGGATTCAAGCAAAACTGTTCTCCCTGCAGTGTCTCGTCTGTCTGATATTTGCACATGCAGAATCAGTAACTGTTGAACCTCCGGCCCCTCTGTCCTTCCCCAGGGTAGCAGGTTGACTTTTAGTAGCAGCACGCCTCTTGCTCAATCTCTTCAGCACTTTAATGCAAGTCACAGAGCAGATAGAGTAGATCCTGACAATGTTCTACTGAACAACATACAATATGTTGGCGGAGTGGAAGAAGTTGTATGGTTGAAACTGTATTATGTGGAGAGCCCTCCGCTCCTAATTCCTTTTTTTTTTCCCAGTGGCCAATCCTAAAACCTCCATATATTTGGCTTTAGTGTTCAGTTTCTTTTTTGATTTTGGCCTTTTATATGTACTTAAACTAGTGCAAAGGTACTGGATGGTTTGATAATCTTTAAAGAAAATGTATAAGAGTGAAATAAGAAAGCCCATTTCACATTCAAAATATTAGTTGTACTGGCCCTTTAGTGGTACTTAATAGTAATATGAGGACCCTTTTCATTATCAGAATATTAGCTTTAGGGGTAACTATAACATTACAAAAACTTAACAAAATAATATTTGCATTATAATAGAATAAGAAGAATGAAAACAAGCTCACACTTTGGAGTAAAAGTGTGGGCAAGTGAAGAAATACACCTCTATATTCTACAATTAACAACAGAGCGGATTAAATTAATAATTTTCAGTGGCAGTCTTTTTCAGTGGCAGAGGGTCACAGAAGTGTGTATCTGGGTGGGTTGTCGAGGTTGGCTCCAGTCCCCACTGAAATGAGATTAACTGGCTGCCCCTGGTGTCCTCCCACCAGATTCTGAGCATGATGGGTAATTGGCCTGTTGTTTTTAATGAAGAAAGAACATGTTGCTCAGTGAGAAAAGCCATTAAATGTAGAGAAGGCAATACAATAACGAGCTTATCTGTAATCACCTCACTTACAAGCTGGTATGTTATTAGTGTGTGATCGATAGTGGGTTCTGTGTGGACAGGAGAGGAGCTGACCCTGAATTCACACACAAGGACATGAGTTTGACCTCATTGTCATACATCTCACTGGGTTGTTATGCCTTTTTTGTAAGAGTCGGTGCTAGATCAGTGTTGTCAGTTCAGTAGGCTAAACACTCCACAAACCATCAAAAAGGTTGTAGACAGTGCAGAATTCTCCATTTCCTTTTTATAGTGGTGCATTTTTGATGGGCTTTACAGTATGTGCCCTATTTTAATAACATTTTATCAGTTCTTGCAGTGTTAACTGTGATAAACGGTAGGGCTAGGCGATTTATCTAATTCTATTTTCAATTAGAATTTTGGCTTCCGACAATAATGAAAACAGAATAATTGAGGTAAAACGATTCTTGTGCTGTATATTTTCTTTAAAAATCTGACTGTTATAGGGGATAACAATAAACACTTTCTTCCAAAATCCCATGATAAGCCTGAAGATGTGTGATGAACTAGTTGGATTCAGCAGACTGGTGTCATATGATCAAGCCCCAGTGGAAAATAAGCCTTTGTATGTTTCATCTGTCCTGTGTGTTAGCAGTCCCTGTGCTATTTTAAGTATTGGTGAAAATGATGGATACAGATAGAGAAGGATTTACAGGATACAAACAAAACCCATGCATTGGGGTTATTGCCAGTACGGCCCTTGGCTGTCAGTAGTTTATTGACCCTGCCATACAGTTTATGTTGCTACTTACAATCTATGTACATTTATATTTATTTTATATGTCTTATAAAATGACATCCTGTAAGATATAAAGTTCCTCTTAATGAGTGTAAAATTATAGTTACTGAAATATAGATATCATGTGGAGATGCCATAAAGCTGAAAGCAGCACATAAATCCTTTTTTACTGTATATACAAAAACGCTAATGTTTTGCTTGTCTTACTCAAAATCAGCTGAAGTCGACCATGTACAGTACGCATAGGCCCTGAGAAGCACGTCTGACCCTGACAAATTACAGTTTATCCTGTGCAGACGGTGTTTGTTTATATGACCTTCCTGGATACAGCTATGATAAACCCCTCCATCAGAAGGGTTTTCTCCTGCCCTGGGGTTTTTGGATACTTTGGAGAAAAACCTGATTTATTTGCTGTGATGCGCTCTTTGTTGCGATATCTACATTTAGCAAACAAATCCAAATGTGGTAGTCCCTCATCTGTGGGAGATCCAATAGAGGATGTAATTCCCTGCAGTCTCAAACACAGATTATATTTCTCTGTTTGTCAGAGATGAAATTGGGCCAAGCCCGCTTGAAATACCTCTGTTCCAAAGAACTCAGTTTAAAATAACAAAACATTCCTTCTTTCTTCCAGAATAATTAGCTCTTTTGTTGTTTATTGCAAACCCTAGAGCTTTAATTTATTTACATTATTTACAGACAACTATATTTATTGTAGACCAACTGATTGATTCTGAGTGGATCAATACCTTGTAAGGAAACTGTTAAAGTGTCGTTATTCCTTTCTGAGGAGACACGGGTGGGTGTTTTTGGTACATTTTCTGAATATTAAGAGCAGAAAGCTCAACATACCAGCTTTCTAAATCAAAACTTTTTTTTTAGTTTGAATGGATGTGTGATGTTTGGCAGGCAGATCTACAGTATTACTCCACTCTTGTGCAAATTGGTTGTACTAGATGGTGGTAACTGATTGTGTTTTTGATCATTTAATTGGATCACACAACGGGTTTGCTCTTTTATGTGTTTTTAATAGGTTTTGGACAGCAGAGAGCTCTCTGGCACAGAGGCATAAGCAACATCAGGCTGTGGCTACAGACAATACTTGTCTGTAGAATAAATTT